CAAGATTGCTGAGTGGGCTGAAAAAGTGCGAAGGGTGTTTTGATTCTCACCAACAATAATCGAAATATCACAATAGTCTGAATTTTTGTAAAATTTATCAAGCCTATTTGAATGTAAAGTCAATAGCAAGTCGGGTGTCATTTTTTTTCGGTTAATTTTAATGATAATTTTATGTGAAAAAAAGCGAGTTAACGACTATCGAAATCGGTTGTACTGTACATGTACGAATTTATAGTAACACAACGATTAATTTCTTTGAACTATACATCATTGTAATTTTATAATTTCCTTCGACGAAGACTACTTGCACAGCGACGAATCACTTTGTATGAGACGATCTATTTCGCCTCTTCATTCCACATAACCGCGCAATTACTATTGTCCAACATCCGCTCCAATTCACTGTCGTTTATTTTTATTCATTTTTGTAATGAACATTATCGCCTATGAACTCTCCATCACACGATCATAATATCGAATTTAGCGTGCCGTGTATGCAGTTAGAATGCTTTTTTAAAAAAATTACCTTTGATTTTGCAGCCCGAAAAGTATTTTGAGGAGCAAACATAGTGATTTTATGGAGCAAACAGCGAAACGAAAATAATGTAGATTGGTTAAGCGAGTGTAGAGTGGTGAATAGCGTAGTGGATGATTAGCGAGTGGTAAGAAATGAAGGGGAAAATTTATTATAGTGAATAAAATAATAAGGAAGTAGGTAAGTTTATTTTTTATTCAGCTCCATGGCAAAATTACATACACCCCTTGTTGACGATTGATGTATTAATATTCCCATTGGAGAATCGGAGAATCAATATCCCGATTCCCGAAAGTGTACATCAGCCATTCAGATCACGTGATGGATTACGCAATTTTGGAAAAAATAAATACGTAATTGTTTTTGCAGGGTTTCATCTAAAATCAACAATACATGTAATTTTTTTGAAACTTTAGAAATGGAAACAAACTCAGTTTTTCAATTATTGCCAATTGAAATACGTCAAGAAATATTTAAAAATCTCAACAGAGCGTCATTATTCAAATGTCTATTCGTCGATCGGCAATGGTGCCGCGAAATCGTGCCTATTCTTTGGGAAAAACCATTGTCAGTTCCAACTCAAAAAGACGGAGTTTATTATCCTTTGGCATCTCAAAGAAAGATATTATCCGTAAAGTTTACAAAAATTATAAATGTGTATGTCAGTCTTTTTTCCAACGAAATATGGCAGTCTCTTCATAAAAATAAAATTAGCCGACCACGTACCGCACGAACTCCAACATTCAACTATGTTTCGTATTTAAGGCACTATGAACCATACACAGTTTCAGTAGCAGCGGGAGTATGGTTAAAACAAAAGTTGATTACTCCGACGGATAAACAACTGCAAAAACGTAATGTATTGACTGAAGCGTTATGCAACCTATTTCTTACCGAGGCAAAGGCTCTCAAATCATTCTATTATAACTTGAGCGAAGATGTTGATATTTTCAGCTTGATTTCTCGCGGATGTCCACCAAGTTTGATTTTTAACAATCTCAAGGAATTAAGAATATCTGAAATAACGAATGAAATAGAGCTTCAAAATTTCTTTGAAAGTTTCACTAATATTTGCCACTCAATTCGTGGCATTACTCTTGATGTAGATCCAGCAGTTAGATACAGTCAGAAAATAATTGAAATTTCCGATGGTGATAAATTTAAAAACGTAATGAAGACTCAAAATGGGCTCGAATGGCTAGAATTAAGGTTTTTAAGTTTGTTATCTGTCACTGCTATCAGATCTATCATTGGAGGCCTTCAATATTCATCTCGCACATTCAGAGCCATCAGCTTTTACAAGATTAACTTTTATACATTCCCGATGATCGAAGGTTTAAGTTCTTGCGTAAATCTTTTCTGTCTGGATTTTCGTGAATGTAATGGGTTCGATCAATCGTGGAATAAAACTGCGAAGCATTTTACGAAATTAGGATTTTTAGCGATTGAAGGACCCTTCTATGAAGCGCCAATAAGTTTCATTGAGCAAGTAATTGAAACAAGTGGTGATAATCTCCAGTTTCTTTTAATTCAAGATATACATACTTTTCCTAAACGACAATTCATGATTACAAAGCTATTGCCTTCTATACTTATGCACTGCCACAATTTACGAGCTATAAGTTTAGGGAAATTAAACTCGGAGCAACTTTTCTCTATAAAAGAATCTTGTCCAAACCTCGAGCATATCGATTTCTATATGCCAAAATTCAATGAAACAATGACTAGTTCGGGGCCTTTACTTCCACAAATCAATTCTCTGACAATTTATAGTGATTCATATTATGATTTATATACAAAATTGGAGGCTATGGAAGCCATTTGTGGTTACATAAAGTGTATTTCCCTCTTTGTCTTTAATGACTACTCTAGTCATCTTGAATCTCGGATCGAAAGTTACGGGATCAATATTACTAAAAAAACTTTTCATGATAGCAAGTATCTGTGTTTCTTTATTTTGTATGCTCGAATTTATTTGCTTTTACTAAATTCATTTTTGCTACTGTAATTATAGGGATTTATCCAAGATACTTTCCGAAATTTTAAATGAATTGATACCATGATTTTGATTCGAAGTACAGTGGTTGTCATAAAGGTTCAGAATTGTTGAAATTTGCCTATCGATCATATGATAAAGAATGGATAGAATTATGTGAAAATTTGCAAACTTATGTTTTTTGACATGAAGAATAAAGTTACTTAAAACATATCAATATAATATCTTATTGAAAATACCAACAACTAATAATGTAACTAAATTTATATTTTATTGAACGGAAAAATTCTTAGATTTCACATCTTGTATCAATGCTTGGCCCATTTGGATATCGACTTGATAAATCTGATATCTTCCGAACGATTGTTTTCATAGGGTCAACGAGACAAAAATCAACATCCACTTTGTGGATCAAAGGAATAAATCACTTGTTGGCAAGATTTGGTAGTACTGGGAATAATCAAGAACAAAAGTAATTAACTTCAAATTATACTTCTACGGGCATTAAACAAGCTATTGCACTGTGTAACGAAAAAAACGGCGGTGACAAATTTTTGCATTTCTAAGCAACTACAACAGATATTTAAATAAAATTTGATGTGTTAAAAAGCCTAAAAGATTCTTTATTAATCATAAAATTTTTAATAGGGAATTCTATCACCATTTGCTTCTATTACTAGTTCACATCTATTTTTTATTGATCATACTAAATTAATTACTGTTTCATTAGGAATTGCTTCCCATTCTTCAGTTAAAAATTGCTTCAATTGCTCAATATTTTGTGGCATTCATCACTTGACTTTATCCTTAATTATTTGCCACAAGTTTTCAATAGGATTAAGATTGGGACTGTTTACTGACCAGTCAATTGCCTTAATTCTATTTTCTGTGATAAAATTTTTCACTACCTTGAATGTGTGCTTCAGGTCATTATCCTATTGCAAATGTCAGTTATTATCATATATGTTCTGTGCAGCAGGTAAAAGCTGGATTTTCAGGATATTAACATAAAATGACCCTTCTATTATTTTGGTAAAGCAAAATAATGGTGTTTTTCCTCTAAGTGAGATTCCATCCTATGTTATAATCTTCTAATATATTTTATATAGCTGCTGAAAAGATTTTACTCTAGTTTTGTGTTACCAACAGACTTTGTTTCAGAAAAGGTCAAATACAGTCTTATCAATGAAGATGGTATGACTTCAGTTGTCTTGTATATATATTTTTGCCCATCTTTTTTGTATTTCCATATGCTAATTTGTAAGTATCAGCATCTTATGAGATACGGAGCTCATATAATCTTTTTTTCTTAAATTTTATCAAATTGTTTGATGTGATATTAATATTTCTTGATTTTCTTGTACTTTTACAGCAAGTTATTATGTTGAAATGCTATTATTATTATATATATATTATCTAATATTAGTAGTGATTCTTTGTATAATCTTAGATTTGCAGTTGTTCTCTCGCTAATACTTCACTATACCTATTTCTTTAAGTTTTTGATATTTTGTTCAATAGTTTAAAGAGAAATATCTGTTTTTTGATAGATTTCATTTGCTAAATATATACTATTCAATCAGTAATGTAATATTATTTTGTGCTATACATGAAGCTTTGTATTAATTATATTTTGTTCTGTTATATAGATAATAAGAGAGTGTCAAATAATTATTTTATCTTTAAATCTATTTATTCAAACAGGTATTTATTAGAAAAATAAGATACATTTATAATTAGTAATACAGTTTTTTATTTATTTTGAAAAATATTTTGATTTAATAATTACTATTTTTTTATTACATAGTATATATACAGTTTTTTCTATATAAATACACTTTTAATTACATGTAAAAGTGTAATTATATAGAGATTTAATAATAAAAAAATTTCTTTTATATAATTACATATATATATTTAAGTAAATATTAATAATTTTATAAAAGTATATTTTATATTATTATATAAAATATATTACAAAATCTTAAATCATTGAGTTTGAGCTTAATATTATAAAGAAATCTTATATGAGTTTCAAAATGTTAAATAGAATATTATATATTAATATTATAAATATTTAAAGCTTGAAAAGATTATACATGAGATCATAATAAATAAAGTTATGATTATTATCTGTATTAGATATTATTATTAAAGAAATATAATCTGTAATATAATATAATATTTCTGAATATTATAGAAAAATCTTACAAGTTTCAAAGTGTTAAATGAAATACTATATTATAATCTTGTTATATAATATATATTAATAAGAATTTTCATAAAAAAGTAATTCAAAAATGAACAGATTTTATTTAATTGTATAAATTTATATTTATTTTATTAAGATAAAATAAAGTTAGAAAAATATAAAACAAAATAAAGTGATTTTAAATAATAGTTTAGAAGTATATAAATTATTAATAAATAATTATTTAATATATATATATACATATTATATATATAGTTACTAATTAATATTATAAATATTTATATATAATTTTGTATATAATTAAGTTTATAAATTATCATTAATTAAGATAATTATACTTAATAAATAATGATAAACTAATGTATTTATACAAAATATATATATAATGATAATGATAAATATCTAAATCTTTATTATTATATATATTTTATCATTATGACTTCTCAAAATTCTATATACAATATGAATATTTTAATCAAATTAGTTATATTACTAGATTTTAATAATAGTATGTAAATTATAAATATTATGAAAATTTTAACTATTAATATAATAATTCAATATAATCCAGTATAAAAAGAATATTAATAGATTATTTTTTCAAAATAAAATTTTAATTCTGTCTTATTTAATTAAGTTATTAGATATTAGAATTTTTTAAATATAAAAATTTTTATTATATATCTTTTATAAAAAAAATTTTACTAATATAACTTTTTTGTATTATTATTTCTTAAATTTTATTATATAAACTTTGATTAAAATTAATATAAAAATTATATAGTA